TTCAAAGTAGATCCTCACTCGCGCATGTCAAATGCAAACTGACCCAATATTTTGTTTTAATCACGACCATTCCATTGATACTGACATCATTAGCGAGTACACATCAATGAAAAAAGTACAAATTACCGATAAGTTAAGCTATTCATCTTATGGAGAGCCTTTGAAGCGTTATCTATTTTGAATGTTCAAGTGGTGTTTTTTACGATTGGTTACTAGTATGTGATTTTTCCTGCACGTTTTAAGATGAGTAATTTCATAAATGCTACTATTTTATACACATGTCATTTTCTTTGAATTTTTGTAATGCTTTCAAATGAAATTAATAGAAATAGGAGAACTTTGCTTATAATTACTGACAAACATCACAACCATTTATCAACTATAACAAAAAATGATAACATAACAGTCCTTCTTTATGGGGTAGTGGCTGGTAGAGGTGTGGGATAAGACGACTGCTCTTCCAACTCATCTAAAACCGGAAGTGCGTTAATTGACAATGTGTTATAATTGACAGAACCTTTGTTAAAATTGGAATGTTCGTCTATTGCTTGCATTAAATCTATTGTTCCTACATTTTTCAGATCTTTGAATATCCAAATCACCAACAAGATCATGAAAATGTACAAAGCAGCTTCAAACAAATATGCTAATCCAACAAACAGGTCAGCCGTCTCACTGTACAAATTCACGAATATCAATACACCAAACAACCTTGTTGCTGTTTCTGCACACGCTAATAATGAAAAAAGTTTCCCTGCTTCATGCTCATTCACTGATTTACTATCAGGTGAGCGTACCGCAGATGTAATTAAACCAGCGAACGCTCCAATGATCACGGAGCCATAGACCATCCATGTTTTAAAAGCGAATGCGGCCCAAGTCAGACGAACAATTTTACAACTTATTCCTATCATAAGAATTGTAGCATCAGACAGATGAACAATACTTGATAGAGTCGGAAGCACAAAGAGAAGAATTTACCCCATGACGGCATAATCGAAGGACAGTAGGTATCCATACCATGATTTAGGCCAGCTGAGTGGAGACCTACTTACAAACAAGACCGTTACTTCCATCTCACCTTCTCTACAAGTTTGATTAAGTAATGTCAGTAAGAACAAAACTGAAAGAACCGTACGCATGGTGTTAGGTCGATACTTAACCAAAACCCCAGAAATATTAGTAATACAACTAATAAATATATTACTATTAATAATATATTTTTACACATCTAAAATGAAAAACAACAAACTGAAACAGGAAAACACATATATTTGGGAGTCATTTATTTGTGACTACTTAAAAGAAACACTTTCTACTAGGCAGAACTTCCACGACAATCTCGACAACTCCAATTTGTAGGCTGGTACTCTCCTTTGCAACATACGGGTATCTGTCAGAGCAAAACAGATAAAGGACAGAGAACCAGTCTACTCCAATTTCGTAACACCACGTAAGTTGACAAATTTGTCCACTCAAACGATAATTAAGAAAAACCTTGTCAAAGAGAGGCTTTATTTAATCTAAAATCATGTTAGATTTCGGCAGCTTTGTGATATGGATTTACAGATTAACTTACTGAGTACCATGCATCCGAACAGTATCCAACGACAAAGATTAATTTTTTTCTTTACATTGTTTCGTACATTCTATTTGAAAAAAACATGATACCCAACAAAAATCCGTCTTGTTTGTAGTGCTCATATTTTAAAACCGACCAGCTAACCGCCCTAGCTCTATTTTTTTACATAATTTTGATGAAATATGAATTTCCTATTGAAAAAGACTTCTTTTATGAATATGTTGTAATTTTAAATTTCATCCGCAAGCATCCTTAGTTAACAAACTATAATAAATCAACAATTCTTTCGGACGCAAACTCATAAACGTTTATTTAAGAGACATTTTGTTGATTTTTATACTTTATATATTAATTCTGCGATCAAAGCCAAAAACCATGAAAATTGTTCATTAAATACTTAAATGTCATAAATCGGTTAGAAGGAATAATTGCAGTAATTCGATTAAAAGTTAATATCTATAGCTGTTAAACACATTTATCATTTTAGCTGACAGAGATATGGAACGTCAAGCCGTAAAAACTATTGATATAGAGAAATAAAAGATTTTTAAAGTTTTCATTTCTTTTTTGTTAATGAAATTGTTGGATGATTAATCCTCTTAAATAAACTAGCCAATACATTGGCCAAAATAAAACGACGAAAACAGAGCCAACAGTCACAAAAAACAAAAAATTGAGGAACCTTCCTAATACGGTACGTGCCATGGAAGGGTAAAACAGTTCCTGTTTCCCTATAGGCACCCATCATGTTGATTATTGCAAGTAAAAATTCTGTATTAAGTCGCATAGGCTGATGTCAAAATCGAGTAAAAGAAACCAGGGTTGTAGCATTGTGATGGTGTCCGACGGGTGACTTCATCTTTATCATTAGGCACATTTGGTTCAGTAGCTTCCTTGTTAGCAATAACAGTCATTTAAAGAAATCATAGTAGGAAACGCAAGTCCTCGAATATTGTTTATATGTGTATTTTATGGGGAAAGTATAGAATTAATTAACATTGTAAAGTCTAAATGGCATAACTTGAATAGGATAGTGTCTAATTCCTATTGGGATGAGGAGTTAAGAGCTGTTTTTCATGATTTGACCGTAAACCCAATACATATGTTGACAACCTTTGACAACTATGCATACTAACATCTACTTTTAATTGTCTGCATACTTCAGGCAAAAGGAATGGTGTTGTCGGCATAAAATGCATCCAGTACGAATGATTGAGATGCGTATACGTTAATGAGAAAAAAGCCAAGAGACATCTCGGTAAGACACATTCTTCAATAATAGACATGTGTTTATTCAAAACGTATAGCTTTAAATCGTTCCACAGTCCATTAAAGTTGTGAAAAAATTGAACAGATACTAATATTCCGAGACCGCTAAATTATATCAAAAGTATCTGTACACTTTAAAACACATAAATCCTTTGAAAAATATGAATGAACATTATTTAATTAAGATCTGCGAGAAACAAGTAACAACTGTTATGACAACATTTAACAAACAAATGGTAACATATGGTAAATATAACGTGATGCTCTAAAGAGCCTGTGTCGCTCAACTAGGTATAAGAAGATGTGGTATGAGTGCCAATGAGACAACTCTCCATCCAAGTCACAATTTGTAAAAGTAAACCATTATAGGTCAAAGTACGATCTTCAACACGGAGCCTTGGCTCACACCGAACAGCAAGCTATAGGTCTATTTTCATCTTCAACAATGTACTCTCTCCAACATTGTTGACTAGAATAGAATTCATGACAAAAATCCTTTTATTTGTTGATCTTGTATTGCTGATCATTTTTTTGTATGCAGTTTCTCTCTTTTTTGCTATTTTAAGTGTCTTTCTATCTTTTATAGTTTTCAAGATAGTAAGCAAAAACGTAAATTATGAACTCTGGTAGACATTTCTTTCATTGGCAACCATACCACATCTCCTTATTAATTTTAGTTAAGAAAATTAGATATGATATGAACTAATTATGAGCTTTTCAACGGAAGTTTATTGTTAAACATCAATCACTCGACACGATATATGTTAAGCTGTACTTTCCACTAACTCGCCGACTATCTAATTGACAACTCATGACCATAGACAACACAATTATATTATTTTCATATTGTTAACTTCCATCCTTTAACAGAATCATATCATCTTCTCCAGCCTATGGCTTTACGTGTGTCATTTGACCTTACTTGACTGCCAGAAATTTACTGTTTATGTTCATTTTCAGTTTTTGGTTAGGTTCGTGTTACTGATTCTTTATATTTCTATGAAGTGTTTTATGAACTTGTTTGTCTTTTCGTCGTTTTTCCTTTTTTGGCAATGCGTTGTGAGTTTAGGGAGCTACCATTTGAATTTTATGGGGGGGGGCTAGGATGAAATTTGAAAAAAATAGGCAGGACAGGAGTTTTGAGTAAAAAAAAAGGCAGGATGAGCAACGTGGTAAAAAAAGGCAGGACAGAGATTACAACTAAAAAAAAGCAGGACAAAATTTTTCATCCTAGCCCCCCCATAAAAATCAAATGGTAGCTCCCTTATGTCGATTATGAGTGTTGAGTGTCCTCTTGGTATCTTCCGCTAATCTTTTTTGCAACATATGTATACTCTTTGATTGTAACAGTGTTAAATTTCTAAGCTATAAACCTTCTAACGCTGTCTAGAAAAAAACTATTAACGTTATTACCCATGACATTACTAACGTTGGAACCATTTTCCTGGCTGTGACATTTACTACTGAATACTACGTGATTGTAATAGTAGATCGCAGGAAATGCCCACCCTACAAGTACAGTAGGTTTCGTTTTGTTTTCCTACTTTGTCTGTTCATCCCATTGACTTTTAATATATTGGATCGATTGCTTGATTGTTGATTGCTTAACGTCCAGTGTGACGTATAAGACATCATTATGCTGTTTATTTATAATCACAGAGATGCATCTTCTTTTCATAACACTTTATTAAATTGATGCGAGAAACATCTCTTTATATTAAACTAACTTTTACTCTCCGAAGTAGTTAATCAGACTGCTATCCTGAATGGGAAATAATTTGTATCATGGTTACAAAGTTAAATTCAATTTTAGGCAAAGTAAATGAATTGGGGTAAAGGTACACAGTGGGGACTAAAACACTAACAGTCGAAGAAAAACTGTCAATTCGATGGCGAAAAAAGCATAAAAGACAAACCAACAGTTGACAAAAGCTTCACAGAAAATTAACCACTGACAATTATCGTGTTGCTCCTCTTGAAATAAGTTAAAGGGGCATTTCCGGTGATGGCGCATCATACTTGACAATAGCAAATTACAGAAACATATTAATTTGTTCTTAAATTTAAGGAGTCCTTATTATCATTATCACAAAAATATATTAAGTTATCTCGTTTTATGGAGAGCCTTTGAAGCGTTATCTATTTTGCATGTTTAAATAGTGTTTTTTACGATTGGTTATGTGATTTTTCCTACATTTTTTAAGATGAGTAATCTCATAAATGCTACTATTTTATACACATGTCATTTTTTTTAATGTTTCTAGTGAATGCAAATGAAATCAATAAAGATAGAGGACTTTGCTTATAATTACTGACAAACATCACAACCATATATCAACTATAACAAAAAATGATAACATAACAGTTTTTCATTATGGGGTAGTGGCTGGTAGAGGTGTAGGATAAGACGGCTGCTCCTCTAATTCATCTAATACCGGAAGTGCATTATTTGACAATGTGTTATAATTGACAGAACCTTTGTTAAAATTGGAATGTTCTTCTAATGCTTGCATTAAATCTATTGTTCCTACATTTTTTAGATCTTTGAATATCCAAATCACCAACAAGATCATGAAAATGTACAGGACGGCTTCAAACAAATATGCTAATCCAGCAAACAGGTCAGCCGTCTCACTGTACAAATTCACAAATATTAATACACCAAACAACTTTGACGCTGTTTCCGCGCACGCTAATAATGAAAAAAGTTTCCCTGCTTCATGCTCATTCACTGATTTACTGACAAGTGATCGTACCGCAGATGTAATCAATCCAGCGAACGCTCCAATGATAACGGAGACATAGACCATCCACGTTCTGAAAGCGAATGCGGCCCACGTCAGACGAACAATTTTACAACTTATTCCTATCATAAGAATTGTAGCATCAGACAGATGAACGATACTTGATAGAACCGGAAGTACAAAGAGCAGACATAATCCCATGACGGCATAATCGACAGACAGTAGGTATCCATACCATGATTTAGGCCAGCTGAGTGGTGACCTAGTTACAAACAAGACCGTTACGTCCATCTCACCTACTTTACAAGTTTGGTTAAGTAATGTCAATAAAAACAAAACTAATAGAACCGTTCGCATGTTGTTAGGTCGATACTTAACCAAAACTCCAAAAGCATCCTTGATGTTGGCCGGGTTGAACAAAGCAAGAAATTCGGATTTTTCCTCTTCTGATTTCACTGGATATTCAACGCTTTCTTTCATAGCAGCTACAGTTAGCAAGATAGTGCAGCCATGGAGCAAGATCACAACACAATAAGTTGTTAAAAGATTTGAAATATCCTGCAGTATTCCTGACATGAACGACCCAACAAATAACCCAAAGAAGTTCATTGCCAACAGATTTCCAAGTTTCCGGATTCTTTCGTCATTTTCCGTAACATCTGCTATGTAACTGTTGACTGCCATTGTAATTACCGTACTTTTGCCAAATATCCCTTGGACGGCTGCACCAATCAGAATCAACGGAATTCTAAATTCGTCGTATGCTAAACTAGCCATGTAGAGTAGTACTCCGAATACACTACCAAGACTGGGAAGCATCATCGGTATTTTTCTTCCATATTTGTCACTATATGCACCACAAAATAGTCCCAGAATAACAGACGGAACATTGATCAGAATTCTGTAATAAATTAAGTATGTCGCTGATTTTCGTTGTATGTCACTCTCTATGTCAGGATAAAAATCAATATGTTGACAGTATGTTGCATTGAAAGGGAAATTGTCATGACAGACGGCTTTTAATATATAAGGCCTAGTAGTTGCATCTAGCATGGACTCTCCAGTCTTGTACAGGAAGAAAATGATTGTTACTGCAATAATGTTAGTTGGACAGCCCCTTAGAATCATTGTGTATCTTTGACGTTACAAAATGAAAAAAAGAAATGTACAAGTTTGATCTTTGGAGAAGAGAGAGATTGTCGCGTTAATAAGAGAATCACTGAACACTCGCTTTAGTTATGATCAATATTTCAGTTTTTGATCCATACCGAGAATATGAGTTTCGTATAGAGTCCTATCACTACTGTAAAAGGTTACCGATTATTTCCAGTCGATATTTCAATAAAATTTTTCCTTACTTGTTGGCTCCTTACTTGCGGTACTGACCATCGTTTGTAAGATTCATCCACATAACATTGATTGTCATTTGTGTTATCCCAGCAATTTTTGCTGTTAATTATTATTGATTGTCATATAATCTTGATTTTCCTTTGGAATCGGAATAAAAAACTAGACCTTTTTATGTACCTTTCTAAATGGGGTAAATGGAATAAAAACTAGACCTTTTTATGTACCTATCTAAATGGGGTAACTGTCGTCAAGTGTTCCGAAAAAGCCGATCAAATAGGTTCCCACGTGTTCGCTTTTAACCAATGATATTCCTAGAAGTTTATAGAAGGTGAGATAATGCAGAATCCTGTAATATCACTCATTTCAGTAATGGTTGATTTATGCTTTTTATGGTACCATTAAAAATTTACTGGTAGATTGGAAAATGTTTAAAGTACACGTTACTTGATGAATATTTCTTCCACAAAGTTTATTCCAATTTCTACAGTTTTTGTTTGTATAGATAAAATAATATGCTTGATCCTTTTTATTTAAGTGGCATCAGTCTTTTTTTCCTGAAAGAACAATAATAATTCTAATTTAAATGATAATATTGATTATATATTTTACACATTTAAAAAAAAAAAAAAAAAAAAAAAAAAAAAAAAAATCTGAACTAGTAAAAAATATATTTGTGGGTTATTTATTGTTCAACTACTTACTAGGAGGAACACATTCTACTTGTTGGAACTTCAACGACAATCAGAACAGCTGCAGTTTGGCAATACGTTAGTTGTTCAACTTGTCCTCTCAAACTTTAATTATAAAACAACCTTGTCAAGTTGAGGCTATATCTAAACTAAAATCATGTTAGATTTGCGGTGGCTTTGTGAGACGAATTTACAGGTTAACTTGCAGAGTACCACGCATCCACCCAGTATTCAGCGACAACTATTAACCTTTTACTATACGTTTTTCGTAAATTTTATTTTAAAAAGCAAGATATATACTTATCCGCCCAAAAACCCGTCTTGTTTGTAGTGCGCATATTTTAGACCTGACAAGCTCACAGACATAGCTCTATTTTTTTACATAATTTTGATTAAATATAAATTCCCTATTGAACCTATTGAACAAAATTCTTTTATGAAAATGTTTTAAATTAGATCTTCATCTGCAAACATCCTAAATCAATCGAACAATTGTTATAAGTGACCTACTCATATAAACGTTTATTTAGGTGACATTTTGATCATTTTTATACTTAATATATTAATCCTACGATCAAAACCATGAAAAGTGTTCATTAAATACTGTAAATGTCAAAGATCGATTAGACGAAATTATTGCAGTAGTTCGATTAAAAGTTAATATCTATAGCTGTTAAACGCATTTATCATTTTAGCTGACAGAGGTATGAAACGTCAAGCCGTAAAACTATTGATATAGAGATGTAAAAGATTGTTTCAGTTTTCATTTCTTGTTTGTTAATAAAATTGTTTGTATGATTGATCCTCTAAGAAAAATAGCCAACACATTGGACAAAAGATAACAACGAAAAGAGAACCAACCGTCCACAAAACACTAAACAGAAAACTAAAAATTGAGAAAAACGAACCCTTCTTAAACGGTACGTGCCATGGAAGGGTAACACAGTTCCTGTTTTACTTTTGACAACTATTATGTTAATCATTGCAAGTAACAATTCTGTAATATGTCAAACAGGGTGATGTCAAAATCGAGAAAAAGAAGCCAGGATGGTAGCATTGTGATGGCGTCAATAAATTTTGCGAAAGGATGACATCGTCTTTACCATTAGGTAACCTTGGTTCCATAGCTTCCTTGGTAGCAATAACAGTCATTCAAGGAAATCATAATAGGAAAAAACAAGTCCTCGAATGTTGTTTATGTTGTTTTTCTATAAGATCTTGTACAGAATTAAGTAGTTGTAAAGTTTTATAGAATAACTTGGATTGGACGGTGTCTAATCCGCAATGGGATGAGTAGTTTTAAAGAGCTGGTATTTTTTCTGATTTGATTGTCAATCCAATACATATGTTAACATATGAAAAAATAAGGATTTTCTTATCCCAGGAATAGATGACCTAAGCCGTATTTGGCACAACTTTTTGGAATTTTGTGTCTTCAATGCTCTTCAACTTTGTACTCGTTTGGCTTTATAACTATTTTGATCTGATCTGAGCGTTACTGATGAGTCTTATGTAGACGAAACGCGCGTATGGCGTATTAAATTATAATCCTGGTACCTTTGATACCTATTAACAACCTTTAACAACTCTGTATATCTAAGTGCATTCTGACTCCAGGCGAATGGAATGATTTTGTCGACAAAATATGCTCCCTTTCCAGTACGAATGAATGAAATGTTATTTATGCGTGAATGATATTGAAGTCAGCTACAAATAAAACCAAGAAAGATCTGTAACACACAGTCGTCATCAACCATGCCATTAGACATGTGTTTATATAATAATAAAGCTTTAAATTATTCCCGAGACCATAAAAGTTGTGATAACAGATATTATCGGGTAACAACTTTTATGACAAAATTTAATTAACGAATGATGACACATGGCAACCATGAAAAATAACAAATAAATATTCTCAATGTTGTTCCACTGATCGAGATTAAAAATAATATCTAAAACAAACAAGCTTAAACCAGTTAGATGTGCAAATCATAAACCAAGTTTGTTTTTGTCTTTTGTTGTATTTTAATATTATTTGTCATTTAGTGAGTTTGTTGTTGATGGTAGATTTTTCATAGTCTGTTAATGTTGATCATTGGTATAGATTTCGTCAGATAGAATTTTCTTATACTTTGCCAGAATGTAGATTTTTCCTTGCTTTTTTCAAAAAAATAATAAAAATTATGGGGTCATCGTGCTATTTTCAAGCTACAAGTCGTGCAAATTGCCCAAATTTGCATAGATTGTTCATAAAAAAACACTTTTTGTGAATAAAAAGAAATCTATGAGATAGAATTTTGAAAAAATATGAGAAGATAGGTTTTAAAATATCCTTTAAAAAATAAAAAGAAAAAATGGTGTCACCGACCTTGTTTTCTTGCTAGAAGTAAAAATTGAAAATTTCTCTATCATTCCTTTATATAAATTTTACTATTTGAGTTATCTGCCCTTAAATGGCTAAGTTGACAATTCAATTCGAACAAACACAAATATTTGGTAATTGACAAAGCAGTCTGAATAATGCAATAAATCACTTATTTTTCTTTATATCAATAAACACTCTAACCCATTAATTGTCAATCCGTCTCAAAATTTGCAGATTTAAGCAAAGAACTAGACCTATTGCAAACTGCTATTTTACAATCCAAGATGGCGGTATACAGTTAATCTACCTTGAATTTATAGACTCTAGGTGATTTAGATCTTGATATATTTTGTAGGACTTAATGACTTTTGCTGAGGGAAATATGTTGATCTCTAAATGTCGTTAGGTTTTTTATGTTGTTGGGTTGCAATTGCTTTCTTATAAGGACATAAACAACATCTCCAAATATTTATATTCACCAAAACATGACGCTTTACCGAATCAACCCTTTTCTATCCCTACCCGAAAGTAAACTATTTAAACATTTCCTTGTTAACTGCTGCTTGCTATTTACAATGTTTCATAGTCGATCAAATGCTGAGGTTACGTGTCATTCTTTGTTGAATTCGTCAATGTTTTATCTGCAGTCATACCGGTTACTGAAAGCTACCTTTACCAGTCCTTTTATTTAGCAAAACCTAAACAAAAAGTTTTATACATTTATATATTTGAATTTCAAAGTTATGATTGATTAATTACCATAGTGTTTACTTTGTTAATGGACATGACGAAACACAACAAAAGTTGATCAGTTTATTACAGTTTACTACCTAAAAATGTAACCTCCAAATAAACAAATATTTAGAATGTAGATTTTCTAAAGAAATAAATTCGCAAATACCACATTAAATTTCTGTAAATAAAAACTGTATAAATCGTTTGAAAATTGAAAAAAAATAGGTTTGCAAAACCTAATAAGGACGTCTCAAATCGATTTGACTATTTTCAATTACCTGCGACATAACTTCTTGATCAACTTGTTTTGACATTAGGTTTATATTTACTAGAAATTTATTGACGTCCACTTTGTATATAAGCCATGATAAATATTTTGATAACGTATATCAAACTGTACTGATAAGCTCACGGATGGTGTGTTGTTATTGAAAGGACTGGTGCCACGTGTAGAGCAGGATCTGCTTATCCTTTAGGAACTCCTCAGATCACCCAACCCCTGCCCAGTCTTTAGTTTTTAATGTTGTGTTTGTGTACTGTTGTTTGTCTTTTAGTCGTGTTTTTGCCATGGCATTGTCAGTTTGTTTTTGACTTATGATATAAAAAAAAGAATATATATATTTTGATATACAACTAATTAATAAAAACTTGATTAGATGATGGATTTGTACGAGTTCTATGATAACATGGCAATAGGAATCCATCATATTTACATTTATAAAAATAAGAAGTTGTGGTATTTGCAAGTTCTTTAATCATAAATTGCCATTTTTAAGATGTAATCATATTTTTTTTCTTTTGTTGTTTCATTGAAGAAGAAGGTTACAAAAGGCAATGTTTTGGCCAATAAATTTTAATTCTCTCCTTAAAATGAAATTTAAAGAACTAACGTTAATAACTGACACGAAGCAATGGTAACAGCTAGCATTGGCCCTATGGTCCAGTTGAGCTAAACAATGAAATAAAACTTGGGGTCATTGAAGGAAAATAAAAGTGATTACAGTGCGCACATGTCGTGTTTCTGGAATAACGTTCATCAGGTGAGCTTATCATTAAAAGTTTGGGAAAATGCTGTACCACGTCAGGTATATGAGGGTTGATTTCCATTCGTTGGTAAAGTCTCACGCTTAATTTGGTCAGTTTTTATGGACTTTTTAAGGGATTAGTATTATGCAGCATATTTGTTTTTTTGCTTGTAATTAACATGGTTTTTGGAAATGGCTCGGAAAAAAGTGGAAAAGATTTTCTACTCAGACAAAAATAATTGAATTTTTCTAAGAATTCGGTATTTGTGTTATACTCTTTTATACATCAACGTTCATAATGCAATATGCTTATGACATCGGTATTTCTTATATTTTTATATGTATCCAATGCACTAACTACTGCAAGAAAATTTGAATATTTCAAGGCCTTTCGACAATATACTCCATTCTTTTTGATAAAATAGCTTGCAAGTTTAGCCTGCAGTAAGCCAAATATTGAACAATTAACAAGTATACAAATACATTTTTGCCTTCATTGTGAAGTTTTCTAATATCATCTCCTGGTATCGTAAGCTTGATTTTATTTTGAGCAAAGGTTATTTTCAAAATAACTGTATACGTCAAAATTCACTTTGAGGTTCGTTCTGCGTTTAAACATTGCCAACTCTTCAGAATTGAAGAGAAATAAATTAAACAGTTTCCGTCAGTGTACGTATATTGTATATTTCAACGTCTGTAAGTAATTTACTGTCATTATATGGAATGATTATTTTA